CAGCCTCTGCCTAGGGAAAGGGCAGTCTTTCCCTGCAGTGGGAACCAAAGCAGCTGACATCATTCTCCTCTCCCCCGTATGATCCGCACAACTATCCTATGAGGTATGTTATGGTTGAAAGTGTGTGAATGGTCCATAGTCCCCCAGGCAGCTTTTAAAACATGAACCTGGGACCTGCACACCATCTGTGGCAGTAATGGGGTGACTGCTGGCATCTTTTCCTATCATTTTTTGCCTTGAGGTATTCTGCTTGTGGTGTGATCTGTCTTCTTTGTGGTGTGGCGTGATTGTGTTATTGGGTTTGTTTCTTTTAAAGGGGAAGTGATGTGTTGTGAGTGAGGACATATGTTACCTCAGAATACAGTAGTTCCCATATGCAACTGAAAATTCCAACTGCCTTGCGGGGGGGGGGGGGTTTGAGGTGTGGAATGGAGGGAAGTCCAATCAGCTTCCATATGCAAAAAACCTTGAAACGCTGGGCGGGACTGCACAAAGCAGCCAGTCAACCCAGCCAGTGTCTTCTGAGTGGCAGCTCTTCTGGCCAAACACTAAAGGCGGGCATTTTAGAACGTTGGTCCCCACTACTGCTTTATTATAAGGGAGAGATACAGGGGTCTTTTGGGGCCGGAGCGTGCCTGAGCACCTCTCCGGCAGCCCAAGAGCCGACGCAAATGGTGGCGGAGGCAAGCCCCACCCCCAGCTCCCCGTGCTGAAGTGCTGGGGCTGGGGGGAGGCCCGAAGAGACCCACAGCCAGCTTTCCCAGGCCCACACAGAAGTGCTGCGGCACGGGAGAGTCCCAGAGAGCCCTGCCGCCGGGTCCCCCGGGTCCCCCGGGCCCGCACAGAAGCGCTGGGGCTGGGAGGAGCCCGGAGAGCCCCGCAGCCGGGTTCCCTAGGCCCGCGCAAAAGTGCTGCAGCACAGGGGAGCCCCGGAGAGCCCCGCTGCCGGGTCCCCCTGGCCTGCACAGAAGCGCTGGGGCCAGGGGAGCCCCAGAGAGGCCCGCAGCCAGCTTCCCTGGCCCTGTGCAGAAGTGCTGCGGCAGGGGGAGCCCCGAAGACCCCGCCACCACGTCCCCCAGGCCCGCACAGAAGCGCTGGGGCCAGGGGGAGCCCAGAGAGCCCTGCAGCCGACTTCCTCAGGCCCACACATAAGTGCTGCGGCACGGGAGAGCCCTGGACAGCCCCGCAGCTGGCTTTCCCGGGCCCGCACAGAAGTGCTGCGGCATGGGGGAGCCCCGGAGAGTCTGCCACCAGGTGCCCTGGGCCCGCACAGAAGCGGTGAGGCCGGAGGGAGCCCGGAGAGCCCTGCAGCTGGATTTCCCAGGCCCACGCAGAAGCACTGCAGCACAGGGGAGCCCTGGAGAGCCCCACCCCCGGGTCCCCTGGGCCCGCGCAGAAGTGGTAAGTAAGGGATCCATGGGGGTGGGGCTGGCAGGGGCTTGATGGGGTGGGTGGGAGAGACTCCCTCCCTCCATCTCTTTGCCATCTTTCCCTCCTTTCCTTTCCCCCCTCCTTTTCTTTCTATCTTTCCCTTCTCTTCCTTCCTTCCTCTTTTCCTCCTTTCCCTCTTTCTTTCATTTCCTCCTTTCCTTCTCTCCTTTTCCTTTTTCCCTCCTTCTTCCCTCCTCTCTTTCTTTCCTGCCTTCTTCTCATTTCTTTTTTCCTCCTTTCCCTCCTTCTTCCCTTCTCTCTCTCTCTCTTTCCCTCCTTCTTTCTTTCTCTTTTTCCCCTCTTTCCTTTTCTCTTTTTATCCCCTCTTTCCTTCCTTCTTTCCTTCTCTTTCTTTCTCTCTTTCCTTCCTTCTTTCCTTCTTTCTACTCTCTGTCTTTCTTCCCTCTTTCCTCCTTCTGTGGCCCAACTCTAGTGAGAAGGGGTTTAAACTTTAAACCCCTTCTCTCTTTGCTCCCCCCCCCCGCAGGCCAGCTGAGGAAGGGAAGGGGAGGCTTTTGAAGGTGCCTTCCCCCCCTTTGCTTCCCCTTCTGACATCACTTCCGGTGATGTCAGGGGCGTGGCATATGCTAATAGCCTAGTGGCTCATTAGCATACCATATGCTAATGAGCTCCTGCAGCTCTTTTTCTAGGAAATGACGCCTGCATGTATATTACAATTATTTGAGAAGTGACACAGCAAACGTAGTACATGCATTGTTCCAACTCACCTGTAACTCACTATAAGGTATTATAGCTACTGATAAAATTATCCCTATTTTGAAACTCATAGCAAACAATGCAATTTTTGGTAATAGTATGGTCTTTTCCATTATAGAAGAAATCAAAGGTTTCGTGAACACATCAAATAATTATTCTACATTTTTCTACAGCACTAATTTTTCACTCAGGCAAAGGCTTGGGAGACTTTCTTTTTAATGAGATGCAGTTCAAATAATAATGGTGCAAGAATTTTAAAAATTATTTGGAATTATATAAATAACAAAAATGAAGAACAGGAACTATCATTTGAAATGCACTGCTGCAATGGGAAAATTCAGTAAAGAAAAATTATTTTGGTCACATCACTGTAACACTACCCCATCTAAAAGAGTACAACAATATAATCATGTTCTCTTGCTAATTGTCACTACCTTGGTTGGGATCAAAAAGTTTGCTAAGTCCTCATCTTCTTCCAAGGTATTCAGGTTATATTGAAAAGGCAGACATTGTGCGTAAAGGACACTTTCATAATGAAGGATAAATTCTGCAATAAGTATACGGACATTCCCTCACAAATTGTTCAAAATTCAAGAATGATATTGTACACCAGGTTGCAATCTTTGGCTTTGAAATATAGCTCTACGTGGCACAGAATGTTAAGATAATACTTACATTTCCACAATATTCTCTGGAAGGTTGGCTGGAATTTCAGTTAAGCCTTTTCCTCGACAGTCCACAATATTGTTGCTGCAAGTACAAGTAGATGGGCAACTGATAGAATTGGCATTGCAGGAAGGAGGTTCTGTATGCAAACCTGAAAAGGCAAAGAACTCAAATGTCAGTAAAATAATCAGTATCATTATGTGCTACTGGCATTATTCTAATGATAGACTATAAAATAAAACTTGGTTGCCAGATGACATATTTGGTTGCCAGATCATATACTTTCTATATCAATCCACCAGAATTTTTATTAAACATAAACTCATCTTAGTCGAATTTGAGAGCCTGTTTGGTGTAGTGGTTAGGAGTGTGGACTCTAATCTGAGAGAACCAAGTTTGATTCCCCACTCCTCCACATGCAGCTGCTGATGTGACCTTGGGTCAGTTACAAGTTCTCTCAGAGCTGCTCTCTCAAGAGCAGTTCTTGAAAGAGCTCTCTCAGCTCCCCCTACCTCACCGGGTGTTTGTTGTGGGGTTGGGAAGGGAAAGGAGATTGTAAACCATTCTGAGACTCCTTCAGGTAGTGATGGGTGGGGTATAAATCCAATCTCCTCCTCCTTCTATGTAGCAAATACATTTTCAAATATTTATAAAGGGTCTAAACATTTTCCCTCAAAATATGTTACTACCAATTCACACATGTATGTTCATCACTTAATATCCAGCACGAATCAAACAATGACCATAAATGAACATGTAACCAGCTTCCATTGAAAAGCAGCTGTTAACAGTGAAAAAAGAAAAAAGAAAAGAAAAGCAGCTGTCATGTTCACCCTTGCCACCTTGGTCTAGTCTGCCTTCTGCCATTGCTGCTAAGTGGCCCTTTCCCCCTCTTTCCGGGGCTCCAAAAGTCTCAGAATGGCTGGGTGCTGAGGGTTATGTCACTACTCCCACAGCCCCAGCCTGTAGGCTCCCTTTCTTTCTCTCTGTGTGCCCGGGAGAGCAACATACGCCTCCCCAACCTCAAGTTCTCTGCCCCTTATATACTCATCTGGAACCCTGACCCCACCCAGGTAGTTCCTCCCATGCTGGCCCCACCCCTCTTTATAAGTTCCAAAGCCCTCCCTGCTTCCAAAGGCTGTCATCTCCCTTGCTGCTGTCTTTTCCCTGTGGGAGGCCTCTTTGCAGACCATGAGCCTCACCCTACCCAATCTCCGCATGTGCTGGCACTCCTGGATGTGCCATGCCTCTCTCCCACCTCTCCTCAAGACTCTCCTGGGGACTGGGCTGTGACACTGGGGGCAACTGCACGCAGCCTTGTTGATGCGGGCAGTTGTGGTGCCTTCCGTCACAGTGAGTTGGTGCTCTGCTCTGCCGTTGGGCTGACTTGTGACCTCTCCCTCACTGGACAGGACAGGAACAGGCAGGTTGAGATTGCCCAAGCCCAGACAGTAGCACTGTGTGAGGTAACACAAATATGAAAGTGCTGTCACTAGTGTCTGGTCATTTTACACAAGCCATTACTTAATGCCTCAGTTATCAAGTAATGAAGGTACACATCAGGCCCGTAGCTACAGTGAGGCCTGCCCCCCTAATTAAAAGCCCTGCCCCACAAACAGCCATGCCAGAAATCTTATTTTTGACCATGACCTAGGTGGTATTGGGCTAGCAGAGAGGGGGGGTGTTGGAGACATATTGAGGGTGGCCATCCAGACTTTCATGCCCTCTGAGTAGTTTTTTTCCCCTAGGAACTTGCATGCTTGGCTGCCCTGTCCCTTGAAATGAAGGGCTAGAAACAGGCTCGGAGCCTCTCCCTTTAAAGTCAAGCATTCAGATTAATTTAATTAACTGTAATTTAACTGCCCCCTTAAACATTTTAATGCCCCCCCCCCACAAAAAAATCTTAGCTACAGGCATGGTACATATGTGAATCAGTACCTAGGAGTTGTTTGTGCAGTCAATTTTTACAAGGAAGCATATCCATGAGGTAAAAAGCTTCTGTGATTGTTCCATGGTTACTTATTGTTACCACAAACTGAATTCAATACACAACCTGAGGAAATACAGCACCCGCAATCCCATTTGCACAGTACATTAGATGCAGATATATTGCTTGAACAGAAGACAATGTGCTAAATTGATGCAGAGTTTAAAACATTCACAGTAAACATTCAAGGCGAAAGAAAGAATGTCAATAATTAGCTACAGTTATAGATTTCTTCTTCCGCAGATGACATGCGTGGGAAAATCCAGAAACTCTATTTGTAGGTAGGTGATATTGGAAACCAAAGAAATATGTTTTAGAACTATTCTTATTGCTGTAATGACTTCAAGGCATAGCCAATAACCCCTGCACCTGTAGCTTCAGATAGACTGACAGAGTACATCTTTGCCAAGTAAGGAGCAGTTAAATTAAATGTTTAGATGCAAATCACAAACCCAGGACTCATTCCAAGGGAACAACTACTGCAGCACACAGCCTAAAAGGAACAACAGGACACCTCTTGTAATCACCAACAGCTCCCAAATGTTCTTATTGTAATTTTACTGTATTTATTGGTTTTACTGCATTTTAACTTGTGTAAGATCCCTTAAGCCAGTTTACACCGGCAAGGCGGGATATAAATGAAAAGTAAATAAATAAATGCTGCAGCACATTATTTCAGGCCTAAATCCTGCTCTGGAGAATGATCTATTTTCCAAACAGCAGTAAACCAATGGCAGAATGGAGACAACCCCCTAATTTAAAGCAGCTTGTAACAAGCAGTAAGAATACATAGTGGAATCACATCAAAGTGCCAATTATGCCCCTTAATCAACATCAGCAATGCAGTGAAAGGACATAATGTCACTATCCCCCATATCTGGAATGTTTACACATGCGATTCTACCAATGTTGTGATTGAAATATCTTGTAGAAAATATCCATTGGTAATGTATTTCGGGAAGACAGAGTTGTGTTAAAGGAAAAGATTAAACAGACATAAAGGATACATTACTAAAAAACTTTGGGGTGACTATTTAAACTTTCCTGGTCATTCCACCAGCCATCAGGCAACTGTATTCAGGTAGATGTATGGAGCATAAAATGAAATTTGTTCAGAAATCTGGCTATATCATACAAAGCCTAAATAGGGATTACAGGTTCTTCTCAGAGTCTAAGAGTACATTGTTTTGCACTCTTGACTTCTCTGTGTATAACTCTCATTGGCAATTTTTCCTATAAGAATTCATGGGTAAATATTTCACCATCTCAGCTGCTGGATGACCTAGGGCAAGCCATAGTTCTGTCAGAGCTGTTCTTGAAAGAGCAGTTCTCGAATGAGCTCTCTCGGCCCAACCTATCTCACAGGGTGTCTGTTGTGGGAGAGGAAGGGAAAGGAGTTTGTAAGACGCTCTGAGATTCCGAGTGACGGGCAGGGAATAAATCCAATCTTCTTCTTCTCCTTCTCCTTCTCCTTCTTCTTCTTCTTCTTCATCATCATCATCATCATCATCATCATCTCTCTAGTTTAGCGCTCACATTTAGCATCTGATGAAGTAGGTTACACTCCATGAAATCTCTTGGTCTTTAAATAACAAAAAATGGTAAATAACAAAAAAAAATTGTAACAAAAAACTGTTGCCAGAGTTGGGGGCGGGGTCAGAAAAGAAGTGTCATGAAGGAAAGCTTGAATTATGTCACCAGCCCTCAGGACAAACTTGGCTCTTTCACAACTCACTGGCTGGTTGCAAGTGACAGGAGTGGGAGAAATAGAGGAACCTCCACAGTACTGGGAACATTACATGGTGGTTCAATCTAGTTTTTTAATGCTGTGTCACTAAATACATACATTTCATCAAAGAAGAATAAAGTCTTACAGTTGCTAGAGGTTTTTATGTTAATACAGCTGTATTCCCCCCACCCCAGCCATGGGTAAACTGCAGTCTGGGGGTGGAGTTTTGGTCATAAACTAATCCAGGGCAAAGGGTTAAGCAAAAGCTTCCCTGAGAATGCTGCTCAGATCAAACAGCAAGCCTTTCTCACAACCACAGTTCACTGAAAAAGAAATTGCCTGGAAATCCAACATACACTTCTTTTGTAATGCCTAGATTGCTCCAAAGTTTGAGGATGTATGGTTCCAAAGCACACTTTGTTCCTAAATAGCCAAAATATCACATAAATAATAAGAAAAGCTAAAGACCGATATAGAACTGAGAAGTACCGCTTTAGATTAGTTAAGAGACACTACAAGAACAATTCAAATCAAAACATTCTGAATCGGAAAAGATGTTCAGATAGTTATGGCTATAAACATCATGATCTGACATATAGCTCCAGCTCCCCAAAGGGAGGGGGGGCTGTCCCTTGATAAAAGGAAAAGAGAACTATTGGAAACTTTTGCTTTCTGTTTCAGAAATGTCAGCAATTCCACTGAGAACTGATGCCTGTGCATTTGAGTTACCATTAGCTTTGTGAAAATGGTCACGTCTTTTGAACTTTTAATATGAAAGATGATGTGTAAGAAAACAAATGGACATACACAAAGGCTAACTATCTGAGTATATGATACATTTAGTTAACACATAATGTTAAACTTGAGACATTATTAGAAACTAATTTATTGATCAGTTTCTTCTAATATTATCTGTTTAAGCTGTGAAACCTATTTCTGAAGGCCAAAACATGTGCACTCACTGGTGCTTTTGACTTTTGCTTCTCTAACAACAGTTCACTAAAATTGCATGCAAAATTAATTTTTTTAATGGCAATGGAGTTTGAAAAGCACTTTAATTATAAACATAGGGATCTGACTGTTTCACGAAAAAAGTCCAAAGTCCTATTTGAAAAACATACAAGGTCATCTGCATGCCCAACGTAATTTGCTGTATTTGGGCCATTATTTTCCACCCAGCCACTCTCAATATTTTTCTTACTGTTAATAGATTAATGGAAAACAATTGGAAAACAAAAATGCATCTCTTACCAGCTAATACTATATACGATATAGTGGCTGCATTGTTGTTGTTATTCAGTCGCACAGTCAAGTCCGACTCTTTGAGACCCCATGGACCAGATCACACCAGGCCTTCCTGTCTTCCACCGTCCTCTGAAGTTTGCTCAATTTCATGTTCATTGCATCTATGACACTGTCTAACCATCTCATCCTT